AGCCTGGGCAACAAAGCAAGATCCCATCTCTAAAAAACAAAATTTATTTTTAATTAGCCAAGCAGGACATGCTGGTTCATGCCTGTAATCCCAGCACTTTGGGAGGCCAAGGCGGGAGAATCACTTGAGGCTGGGATTTAAAGACCAGCTTGGGCAACATAGCAAGACTATATCTCTACAAAAAAAAAAAAAAAAAAAATTAAAATAGCTGGATAAGGTGGCACACATCTGTAGTCGCAGCTACTCAGGAGGCTGAGGCTCTGAGAGAATCACTTGAACCTAGGAGGTCGGGGCTGCAGTGAGCTATAATCATGCTACTGTATTCCAGCCTGACTGTGGCATAGCAAAACCCCCATCTCTTGGAAGAAAGAAAGGTTTCTCCCTACATCCAGAGTAGCAGGATTGAAATCCCTTAAAATATTCTTTGACTCCAGTACCCCTTGAAACATTACAGAGCAGCCAGCGGCGGACAATCCTTGAAATGCTCCTGGGTTTCTTGAAGCTGCAGCAGAAATGGAGCTATGAAGACAAAGGTGAGGTTGCCTTCCATTGCAGTGCTCTGGGGACTGTTGAACACTGCAGACTATAAAGGACAGCAGGGCAAAGAGTGCTGTGGAAAAGTAGTCTAGAACAATGGTCCTATTCTGAGGTTGTAGCACAAGAGAACACTAACAGATGAGATGGATGAGATCTGTTTATTTTTCTCAGTGTGCTTCCTGGATACCCAGTGGATTAAGCTCTTTAAATCTGCCCCAGGAGGCGGGGCATGGTGGCTCACACCTATAATCCCAGCACTTTGGTAGGCTAAGGCAGGTGGAAAACTTGAGGTCAGAAGTTCAAGACTAGCCTGGCCAATATGGTGAAAAACCGCGTCTCTACTAAAAATACAAAAATTAGCCAGGTATATTGGCACATGCCTGTAGTCCCAGCTACTCGGGAGGCTGAGGCAGGAGAATAGCTTGAACCTGGGAGGCAGAGGCTGCAGTGAGCCGAGATTGTGCCACTGCACTCCAGCCTGGGCAACAGAGACTTTGTCTCAAAAAAAAAAAAACATCTACCCCAGGTTGTCTGTATATCACAGCTTAGTCAGGGATATGGAATGTAATGGCTTCCTTCTAACCTGGCCTCTGTCTCTCCCTAGATCAAAGGCCTCTGAATGGCTTCAAGGACCAGCTGTGCTCACTGGTATTCATGGCCCTAACAGACCCCAGCACCCAGCTTCAGCTTGTTGGCATCCGTACACTCACAGTCTTGGGTGCCCAGCCAGGTACATCTTAAGGGAAAGAGAGAAGAGAAGGATATTGGTCCTTTTCTTGTAAGGCTGCCTTAGTGAAAAGCAGCCTTACTATCCTGTTCTCACTGCAACTCTGGATGATTTGGGATTTCTAATAAGAGCTTGGAAGGGTTGTGATGGCTGCAGGGGAAGAAAGATGAGATTCATGTTCCTTTCTAACTACAGATCTCCTATCTTCTGAGGACTTGGAGCTGGCAGTGGGTCACCTGTACAGACTGAGCTTCCTGGAGGAGGATTCCCAGAGTTGGTGAGAATTTAAAGCAGTGAGATATAGAGCACGCTGTTCCCTGCCTCTGTATTGGCAGCAACAGATCAAGCTAGGACCAGGGCTCTGTGCTTCTGACCCTTGGCTCTCCTTAGGGGAGGTGAGCTCTGTGTTAGGCTCTGGCTGCTAACCAGTTGGAGAGATGTAGGACTGCTCTCTTCTTAGGCTTTAAGAAACCCTGTCAAACTCAGTGGTGTAGGTACTTGAGTTCTACTCTTTGGCAAGGAGGTGTTGGGAGCTCACACTCCTGAATCTGCCTAATATCAGACCTAAGCAAGAGAGCTGTGAGCCATGGCTCAGCCATTGCTCATCTGCTCTGCGCCTCCAGCAGGGTGGCAGCACTGGAAGCATCAGGAACCCTGGCTGCTCTCTACCCTGTGGCCTTCAGCAGCCACCTCGTACCCAAGCTCGCTGAGGAGCTGCGTGTAGGTATGTGTCTCTAATCCTCTGTGGCCCATCCCTTCCCAGCAAGGCTTTGGGGCCTTCGTGCTTGCTATCACACAGTGAACCTTCATCTTATGGGTTGCTTTCAGGGGAGTCAAATTTGACTAAAGGAGATGAGCCCACCCAATGCTCCCGGCATCTGTGCTGTCTGCAAGCCTTGTCAGCTGTATCAACACATCCCAGCATCGTCAAGGAGACACTGCCTCTGCTGCTGCAGCATCTCTGGCAGGTGAACAGAGGTAACTACTAGGAATAATAACCAAGGGACTGGGCTGAATGGGGAGCTGTAGTCAAGTTTGGAGTTGATGCATCTAAGGCAGTGGTTCTAGCTGTAGCTATACATAAGAGTAACACAATCAACTCTTTAAAAACAAAAAAAAAATACTGATGCCTGCATCCAACTAAATCAGTCTCTGAGGAGGGATGGGACTTCGGCAATAGTACTATTAAGAGTACCCAGCCAGGGCTGCCGCTTATGCCTGTAATCTCAGCACTTTGGGAGGCCAAGGCCAGTGAATCACTTGAGGTCAGGAATTTGAGACCAACTTAGCCAACATGGAGAAACCCCGTCTCTACTAAAAATACAAAAAAATTAGCTGGGCATGGTGGCATGCGCCTGTAATCCCAGCTACTAGGGAGGCTGAGGCAGGAGAATCTCTTAAACCTGGGAGGCGGAGGTTGCAGTGACCTGAGATTGCACCACTACACTCCAGCCTGGCCAGCCTGAGCAATAGAGTGAAACTGTCTCAAAAGAAAAAAAGGGCCGGGCATAGTGCCTCACGCCTGTAATCCCAGCACTTTGGGAAGCTGAGGCGGGCAGATCACAAGGTCAGGAGTTGGAGACCAGCCTGGCCAACATGGTGCAACCCCGTCTCTACTAACAATTATCTGGGTGTGGTGACAGGCGCCTGTAATCCCAGCTACTCCGGAGGCTGAGGCAGGATAATCATTTGAACCCTGGAGGCGGAGTTTGCAGTGTGCCAAGATCGTGATGTTGCACTCCAGCCTGGGCAGACAGGGTGAAACTCCCTATCAAAAAAAAAAAAAAAAAAAGGTGCCAGGCCAGGTGTGGTGGCTTACGCCTGTAATCCCAGCACTTTGGGAGGCCAAAGCTGATGGATCACTTGAGCTCAGGAGTTTGAGACCTGACCAGCCTGTGCAACATGGCGAAACCCCATTTCTACAAAAAATACAAAAATTAGCCAGGAGCAGTAGCATGCACCTGTAGTCTCAGCTACTTGGGAGGCTAAGGTGGGAGAATCACTTTGAGCCCGGGAGGTGCAGGTTGGAGCAAGCCGAGATCACTTCATTGCACTCCAGCCTGACCTGGGCAACAGGAGTAAAGCCCTGTCTCAAAAAAAAAAAAAAAAAAAGAGTAGGTAATTTTCATGTGGGGCACAATTGAGAGGCATCACCCTAAGGCCATGGTGCTCAAAAGATGGTCTGTTAACCAGCAGCATGGGCGTCATCTGGGAGCTTGTTTTAAGTGCAGAATCTCAGGCCCTCACTGATCAGAATCTGCATTTTAACAGTGTCCCCTGGTAACTCAGAGACCGTTGAGTTTGAGAAGCACTGCTCCAAGGCAAAAGTGACAGCAGCCTGCCCTGTGGGTCGATTCAGGCCTACCGTGGTTGATCCAGCAGCTGTTACATAGTAGAATGAATACTAGACTTGGATTATAACTTGGGCTTGATTCCTGACTTTGCACTTCCTGTGACCCTGGAAAAGCCACTGATCATTTATTTTATTGTGCCTGCATGTCCTTCTCTATAGAGTGAGGGAAATTATACTTCTAGGGTTGTTACGAAAAATAAGGGGAGAATATATACAAGTGTTTCTGCTGCAGAGCCTGGGACAGAGCAAGTCTCAACTATGAAGTCTGAATAGATCAGAAAGAACAGCCAGGAGAATAAAGTGACTCAGCTTTTTAATAAGGCACTCTTGGTCTCTTCACTCATCTTTGTTCTTCTCATCTGCTGTGTATTGGAAATACCTGAAAGTGCTTTTAAGAAAACCTTACAGAGAACACTTTCTCACCAACAGGGAATATGGTTGCACAATCCAGTGACGTTATTGCTGTCTGTCAGAGCCTCAAACAGATGGCAGAAAAATGTCAGCAGGACCCTGAGAGCTGCTGGTATTTCCACCAGACAGCTATACCTTGCCTGCTTGCCTTGGCTGTGCAGGCCTCTATGCCAGGTAACTTTCCACCTCTCCTTCCTGGCCTTTGGGAACTCTGCCCTCTGCTGGTGTTGAACACCAGTGCCACCCTCTAGGTATTGGTAATGTGTTTTGTATCATCAGAGGTTTATTTTGAATCCTTTGTCCTCAGAGTGAGATTTCATTTCATAGCAAAGGGTGCCACCCTGACCAATGGCAGGAACCAAAATCTACTAGTGTTAGCAACATTCAAAAGAATGCACACCTTTTCCCCTTGAAGTGCTATGTGATTAGTTTACTTAGAATTGGACTCTGGAGTCAAGCCCACCTGGTTGGGTTTCAGCCTCAGCTCTACCGCATGCTAATTTAGGTGAAGATATTCAGCCTTTCCAAGCCTCAATTTCCTCACTTGTAAGGAAAGAGAGTACCGTCTAGGCTGGCGCCATGGTTCACACCTGTAATGCCAGCACTTCAGGAGGCCAAGATAGGAGGATCACTTGAGTCCAGGAGTTTTGAGACCAACCTGGGCAACACAGGGGACCCTGTTCCTACAAATAGGCATAGTGGTGCATACCTATAGTCCCAGCTGCTCAAGAGGCTGAGGTGGGAGGATAACCTGAGCCCAGGAGTTCAAGGCTGCAGTGAGCCATGATTGTGCCTCTGCACTAAAGCCTGGGTGACAGAGCGAGATCCTGTTCCTGTCTCAAAAAAAAAAAAAAAAGAAAAAGAAAAACTGTTTCACAGGGTAGTTGGTAAGGACTAAATAAGATAGTGTGTAGTACCTGCCACAGAGGAAGTACTCAGTATATGATAGTTGCTATAAATAATAAGGACTCATGAAGATAAATGCATGTTTTTAATTTTTTCAGAAACCAACATTACTGTTTTTTTTTTCTTTGCATCTCCATGGACACCAGGGACAACATTTCTATTTCTTACGTTAAGAATGTTCATCTGAGCTATCCGTCTTTCCCACTATTGGCTTAGTCTAAGGACTGTGCTGAGTTCTCAAGAGCGCTCTGTGGCCCCAGGTCAGACCACTCCTGTTTCTAGTGCCCTGCTGGTTCTCAGGACTACAGCACTACCAGAGGCCAGATTAAGAACTGCTGTCATGGCTAGAGTCAAGCCCCAGAGTCAGTGATGGTGACAGAACCCAATCATCCATTTCTTGAACCCGTCATGGTCTTGTGATTGTGTGCATATGTATGTTTTGCAGAGAAGGAGCCCTCAGTTCTGAAAAAAGTACTGTTGGAGGATGAGGTGTTGGCTGCCATGGTGTCTGTCATTGGCACTGCTACCACCCACCTGAGCCCTGAGTAAGTATAATCATGGATGTGGCCTGAACCCAGGGAGGATAGCATTCTTGGGAAGAAGCAACAGGTAGCTGCGTTGTCAGCTGTCCTTTTACCTGTATGTAAATGTGGGTGCAGTTAATTGTCTTGTAAGTTATGCTGACAAAACAAAAGGAAGGGGCTCTTAGCATCATGGACTATGAGGGTGGGAAGCCACGGACCAGTGGTTCTTAGCTGCAGATGGACTTAAGAATTACCTGTAGGGCATTTTAAAACATACCTTGACTTCCCAGATGGGAACCTGAATAGAAATGATTACTGGCACATAATATGTGCCAAATTAGTATTTGTTCAATGCATGAATGATCAGGGCATGTCCCATTGACTTGGTGATCCTAATTTGAACCCCAGGTTGAAAAGCATGTCTGTGGAGGAGAGGGCTGCTTTAGAATCCTAGCTCCTTGGTCATACCTAGTACTCTGTCCCCAGGTTAGCTGCCCAGAGTGTCACACACATTGTGCCCCTCTTCTTGGATGGCAACGTCTCCTTTCTGCCTGAAAACAGCTTCCCGAGCCGATTCCAGCCATTCCAGGTGACGGTCTTAGAACTTACATCCTTCAAGCTGGTTTTTTTAGGGCTAATCTGGAATGGGTAGAGGGGCAGACAAGCCTATTGCTGGCAGGCTTGATCAGGCTTTGCTTCCTTTATAGGATGACGCCTCGGGGCAGAGGCGGCTGATTGCACTGCTTATGGCCTTTGTCTGCTCCCTGCCTCGAAATGTAAGTGAGCACATTTGGGAAGTACCGTTATTTAACCTTGACAAGGGGAAATGGATCCCAGGTGACTTTGGGTTGAAATTTGCCACAGGCTAAGCTGATCTTTTACTCCCCCCACCAGAGGAGTTAGTTCTTATCCATCCCGGTCCCTGCTGCCACTGTGTACTGGTTCTCTTGGAGTTCAGGTGTTCTCTGGGTCCATTACATGGCCAGGTTTTCTGTAGGTGGAAATCCCTCAGCTGAACCAACTCATGCGGGAGCTTTTGGAACTGAGCTGCTGCCACAGCTGCCCCTTTTCTTCTACCGCTGCTGCCAAGTGCTTTGCAGGACTCCTCAACAAGCACCCTGCAGGTACTGAGATCAGACTGTAAGGAGCCTCCCACAATCAACTACCTGTGAAATCTTATAGCTCAGTCCTCATTCTCTTTTTAAAAGGAGCTTGCTAATAACATTAATAGGGCTTCAACTGCTCAAGCACTGTCCTGGGACTGCCTGTGGGAAAAGCATCAAGACCACTGTTGGGCAGAGCTTTATAGTACCTAAGAAGAGAAGGGAGCACAAAGAATCTAGTTCTGCCATCCTACTCCCTACAGTGGGGCTAGTGACAACCTTCTCTTTTCAAATGGCAGCACCTCTGTATTATGAGAATACCAGGCTCTTATGCAGGTGTCCAATCATTTTGTCCACAGGCAAAAATGGTATTTTCCCTTTCTAACAGCTTCTCAGGGAGCTCTGCACTTAAGTGATTTGCATCCTTCATTGTTAAAGGGAAAATGTGTAGCCTTTATGTCACCATTTCCTCTCCTTTTTAGGGCAACAGCTGGATGAATTCCTACAGCTGGCTGTGGACAAAGTGGAGGCTGGCCTGGGCTCTGGGCCCTGTCATAGTCAGGCCTTCACTCTTCTTCTCTGGGTAAGGAGTTGGAGTAGAGTCTGTTTAGACAGAGAGGCGGTTAGTCTGGTTAAATAAAATGTCCCTGTTTGACCCTAAACTATAAACATCTATGTCTCTGGGTTCTGGGGTTTGAGTGTCATTCCCCAATTGCTCTCTCTGTCTCCAATTACAGGTAACAAAGGCCCTAGTGCTCAGATACCATCCTCTCAGCTCCTGCCTTACAGCCCGGGTACGTCCTTTCTGGAGACAGGAGAACCCAGGACCTAAACAAACTTTCTTGTTGCTCCTATTCCTCCCACGGACTTCCATCGTCCTCTGTGTGGGGTTTTTTTTTTTTTTTTGAGACAGGGTCTCACTCTGTTGCCCAGGCTGGAGTGCAGTGGTGCGATCACAGCTCACTCCAGCCTCAACCTCCGTAGGCTCAGTGATCCTCCCACTTCAGCCTCCCAAGTAGCTGGGACTACAGGGGCACCCCACCACACCCAGCTAATTTTTGTATTTTTTGTAAGAACTGGGTCTGGCCATATTGCCCAGACTCCTAGGCTCAAGCAGTCCACCTGCCTTGGCCTCCCAAAGTGCTAGGATTACAGGCATGAGCCACCACACCCAGCCCCATTCTCATCTTTGGCACTTAAGATTCTTCTTCCCTGATGTACCTCAAAGGCTCTTTTTTCTCCAGCTCATGGACCTCCTGAATGACCCAGAATTAGGTCCAGCAGCAGCTGATGGCTTCTCTTTGCTCATGTCTGACTGCACTGATGTGTTGACTCGTGCTGGCCATGCTGAAGTGCGGATCATGTTCCGCCAGCGGTTCTTCACGGATAATGTGCCTGCTTTGGTCCAGGGCTTCCATGCTGCTCCCCAAGGTGAGGAGTCTGAAAGAAAGGCCCCACATATACACACCTCTCCTTTGCTTGGCCACATTCCCCAAGATAATTTAGGAGCCACTTGCTTCTTTAGAGCTATATTGTGGTCTGTGCCTAGAAGACTAAACTTCTAGATTCTTGTCCCACTTCTTCCTTTGATGGGTGTATCTTGCTTATTCTGAGCGTGAAGGACTTTTTCACCCCTTTGTAGGCTGATGTCTCAGCCTCATCACAGATCGGGATTGAATTCTCAAGCTATGTATCGAAGTCCAATTTCTGTTCTAAGCCTTTCCATTTTTTACAGATGTGAAGCCAAACTACTTGAAGGGTCTTTCTCATGTACTTAACAGGCTGCCCAAGCCTGTGCTCTTGCCAGAGCTGCCCACGGTAAGTCCTGCAGGCAGAGCTTCTCAGCAAAGGACAAAGCTATTCTTCCTCAGATGGGGCTAGAAAGAGGAGGGGACAAGAACCAGGATCTTCACAATGTGGCCATCCCCCACCTTGCCCATTGCCCCTTAGCTTCTTTCCTTGCTGCTGGAGGCCCTGTCCTGCCCTGACTGTGTGGTACAGCTCTCCACCCTCAGCTGCCTTCAGCCTCTTCTACTGGAAGCACCCCAAGTCATGAGTCTTCACGTGGACACCCTCGTCACCAAGTTTCTGAACCTCAGCTCTAGCCCTTCCATGGTGCGTTGAGCCCCAGCAACTCTTTTAGGCACCAGCATCTCTCCCTGGGCATACTCTCACCTCCTTGTGGTTGTGTTCCAGGCTGTCCGTATCGCCGCACTGCAATGCATGCATGCTCTCACTCGCCTGCCCACCCCTGTGGTAAGTACCTCAGGTGTCTCTCCTTAGCCTGGGAACGTCTCAGAAGAGACACGTAAGTACCTTTTTGCCTTAGTCAAGTGGGCTTGGCCACCCTGCTGTGTAATTGAGATCTGAATTACAAGGTACAGATCTTGTAATTCTGGGCCCAAGGATTCTTTTCCTTGGGCCCAGAAGGTAACAGAATGGTCATCCTGCCACTTAACATCCCTTGGAATCGCTAAAGATGTTTTGCTTTCCTCAGAATATTAGTTGTACAGAATCAAAAAAGCGGTACTTTCAGCTGCCTTGGATGAGCAAGTTTGATTATATCCTCTATATCCTCTGACTCCACAGCTGCTGCCGTACAAACCACAGGTGATCCGGGCCTTAGCCAAACCCCTGGATGACAAGAAGAGATTGGTGCGCAAGGAAGCAGTGTCAGCCAGGGGGGAATGGTGAGTTTCTAGGTCATGGGGAGAGATGGGACCAAAATGAGCCTCACCACTAATGCCGCCAACTTTCTTTCTGCCTACAGGTTTCTGCTGGGGAGTCCTGGCAGCTGAGCCCTCAGTCCTGGCCTAGACTGTTCTGACAATCTAACCTGGAATTACTATCGAGCCATCATCCCCAAAGCAGGGAAACCACTGGCCTCTGACTGCCTTTCCCACAGACACAGCACAAATGCTAGGCCTCTGTTGCATGGCTGTACAAGGAACATAAGAGTCCAGATTTCTAGTGGATTTGTGAAATAAGTGTGTGTGAGACACTTGTGTTTGAAGAAAGATCTAGGGTCCTGGGTCTCTTGCATTGGTATGTCAGAAAAGGGGTGATATGCTGCTGAGGGGTGAGTGCATATGAGTGTGGCCCTGAGGACTAGGGCTGGCAGACGTGTGTACCTGCTGAAGAATAAAGATTTCTTTTGTTAAGGGGCTGTCAGGTATTTCCCCCACCCCACATATGCTTCATATAACCCGAGGAGCCATTGCACCAAGCTGGAGGAACAATGACAGGGACTGGCCTGTAAGCCCAACACCTTAGGAGGCTGAGGCAGGCTGATCGCTTGAGGCTAGGAGTTTCAGACTAGCCCTGGCAATACAGCAAGAATCTGTTTCTACAAATAATTTTTTAAAAAATTAGATTGGGCATGGTGGCCGATGCCTATAATCCCAGCATTTGGGGAGGCTGAGGCGCATGGATCACTGGAGGTCAGGAATTCAAGACCAGACTGGCCAACAGGGTGAAACCCCATCTCTACTAAAAATACAAAAATTAGACATGGTGGCACACGCCTTTAATCACAGCTACTTGAGAGGCTGAGACACAAGAATCACTTGAAACTGGGAGGCAGAGGTTGCACTGAGTCGAGATCGCACCCCTGCACTCCAGTCTAGGAGACAGAGAGACTCCGTCTCCAAAAACAAAAAGGAGGCATGACCAGAACACCTACTCACTAGGTTTTGACCCTGACTTTCCCCTTCCCTGCCCTATTGTGAGGCAGAGAGTGAGAAGCTACATATCTTTAAAAATCGAATACCTTTATTTTTGTTCCCTTCAGCAGCATGTGAGAAGTGGCAGTGACCTCAGCAGCAGGTCTGGTATCTTTGCCCTGTTGAGAAGCCAAGATCTCAGCTGTACTAGTCAGGTGTTTTTTCAGACAGCAAGTAGGAGAGGTGGTGGCCAACTCCAGTGCTGTATCCTGGAGGAGGTCCTGGTCAGCACTGGGCAAGGTAGGTAGCTAGCTGCCTGACCCCTAGTCTGGGGTTGGAACTTCTGTTTGCCTGAGTAAAGGGATGTCAGTCCTAAGATTTCTCCATATTGTGTCTTTCTTCTGCAGTGGCAAAAAGGCTGGTCCTTGAATTGTCCTGCATGGTACCCTAAAGCAGGCCCACTGGCTCTTTTTGATCAAGGATTCCAAGAAAAGTTGCCCTTGGAGGCCCTTGAAATAACATAGGAAGCAGAATGAGTGCTCAAGTCGTGGCTGACATAGTCTAGCTCACACTGCCATCACAGAGGCTGAGTGAGCAGTCACCCAGGGAGGGGGCTCCCAGTTCATTCCATTCCCATGGGGCAGGTGACTAGAAGGTAAGAGCACCCGAGTAAGCCAATGCCTAGAAGAAAAGAGAGAAATGTCTCTGAGTTCCAAGAATTCTTGGTCCTTCCCGATCATCATTCCTTAACAAGCATACATCAAGGTATCCTGAAGCTACCTTGATGTCAATCACGAAAGTAACAAAAGTTCTAATTTTTTCTGCCCAATTTTATCCAACAAATGTACCTTTTGGTGCCTTGAAGGCCTTTTGAGGTTTCGAGCTCAACTTCTAAAGGTCCACTTTAAGCACAGTGATAGGAGTGTCATGTACATGGGAAAAGGTGGAGGGAAGACATGTCTGCTCATCTAATTGTTATCGCCTCAGTAACTGCCATTTGAAAAATTGTTTCCCCAGCCAGGCGCGGTGGCTCACACCTGTAATCCCAGCACTTTGCGAGGCCGAGGCGGGCGGATCACGAGGTCAGATTGAGACCATCCTGGCTAACATGGTGAAACCCCCTCTCTACTGAAAATACAAAACAAAAATTAGCCAGGTGTGGTGGCGGGCGCCTGTAGTCCCAGCTACTTGGGAGGCTGAGGCAGGAGAATGGCGTGAACCCCAGAGGCGGAGCTTGCAGTGAGCCGAGATCGCGCCACTGCACTCCAGCCTGGGCAACAGAGCAAGACTCCGTCTCAAAAAAAAAAAAAAAAGAAAAATTGTTCCCCTTGTCTTGGGCTGAGAGGTAGCTCCAATTACTGTCTTAGGGCCTCTGTGACAGATTATTTTCATCTCACAAATTATCGGCTTGAACTCTAGACACTGCTCTCCAAGTGAGAGGTGACTGGTGGCCACCGCATCCTACAACCAGAGGCCCCTTCCTAAGCACAGCTTTCCTAGGATTCTACTGTAGTCATGTTGAAGCCTTATCTGTTACTTAAAACCACACAGTGTTGGCCTCAAGCCTCTTAGGTTCAAATGAACAATGATCTCTATTCATAGAGTCTAGAACTGTGCTAACACAGTAGCCACTAGCCATATTCCAAGTGCTCACAGGCACAGAACATCTTTCTCATCACAGCATTCTGTTGGACCGCATTAGTCTGTGTGTCTTACATTACCTTCCTGTGTCCACACCCAGGAATACCTTCCAGTTGTCCAAGCAGCCGTAGTTGTAAGGATTCCTAAATACCTGGAGCCAAGAAAAACATATGTTTCTTTGAACTTCTAATTTTTGAGACTAAACTGGCTAAGCTAAAGCTCAGGTAGAGTAGTTCTGGCCTTTTACAATGCTTGCCCTAGTCAGCCCTGCCCATGGCCTGTTTACAGGAGAGCAGGTTCAGTTACCCACCTACCCACCCCGAGCCTTTAACCCTACTCACTCTGCCCTTGGCCTGTAGCCGACGTCTCTCCTTCTTGTTGATGTGCCTTTCGATGCTAGTCTCACCTCGACTGATGAGAACAGCATGCCATACAGTTAGGGCACCCAGGGCAAGTGCCACAGAACTAAGAAAAGAGGGGCGAAGACTGGTGGGTAGTTTAGAGAGGGCTGGAGGAAGTATGTCTGAAATTGAGCTAAGCAATAACAACTGGCTTGTAACCTCTCTACCTAAGTCTTCCTCACCTCCCAGCATATATCCTAGATAAACTTTTACTTCATTATGTCTATAAAGAGCATCAATGAAAAAGCATCAAAGTGGCCTAAGAATAAATGATGTGAAGCCAGGCATAGTAGCTCATGCCTAGTAGTCCCAGCAACTCGGGAGGCTGAGATAGGAAGATCATTTGAGTCTAGCATGGGCAACATAGCAAGACTCCATCTCTGTTGTTGTTGTTAAAGGAAAATAAGAGAGTATGCAGAAAGGAGAGTAGAGAAGTCTGTATTACTGAGAAAATGTTCTATATTTCCTAAAATACCCATGCTTGGGAGATAGTGGGAGGTAGTAAAAGCACCCAAGGTTGGAATGGGATAGCAAGAAATTCAAATTCCAGTGCTACTATTCCTACTAGCTGTGTATCATAGAACAAGTCACTTCACCGCCCCTTAGCCCCCAATTTTCAGTTTTCCTCATCTATAAATAAGGAGTTTAACTTACTTTGGTTACATATCAAGCATATACTTGTACCATGTGCTTAGTAATAAGCAATGCCAATATCCTCAGTGCTCCCTGCCCCGAAATGCTTTAGAAAAGTGCTGGCTCTTTGCCAACCTAAATTAGACTAAAACAGTAGCAGTTCACTTAGGAATGGGTTTCTGCCTGCATGTGGGCACCTAAAAAACTTTTTTTCTGAAGCTTCCCCTCCCTTAAAACTATCAAAATTAAATACCTGCACAGGAACCAGAGGTAGACAAGACTCTTGTGAGTCATCCTTTCTCGAAAGGAGAAGATGGGTGGTGGGGTCTGGTGATAAGTCTAGAAAAAGAAAACAGCAAAGCTGGCTCATTTGCTCTGTGGGTCTCCAGCAACTGCCCCAGCACCTATAGGCAGGAAGTGATCCAAACCCAGGCAGAGAAAACGGGGTAAAGCCACAGAGGAGTCAGGGTAGCAGCGAAGATGGGTGGACCAAGCCCAGCGGCATCACCACATGGACAAACACTGGGCAGCAGAGCAGGGTCTGGACAGGATGGTGAAGCACAGGAGGAGCTGACCCTGGGCCTTTAGAGTGACAACACAGATGGGGCTCCAGGGGAAGCCACTCCAATCCCCAGCCAGAACTCCTTCACTGCGTGGCTGCATCCCCAAGAGAGGAGACCAGACCATACCCAGAATGGACTGACTGGAGTGAGGAGAACCACTAGGGACTGTAAAAGGGCAGCAGAAATACAATCAAGATGGGCCCAAGATGGGCTCAGCAGATTAAGGAGTCCTAAAAGGTACTGGGGGACAGGGATGATCCAGATGTAGATAGACCAGGTGCAAGGGATGATCAGACTGGCTCAGCCTGATCTCTGTCCCCTGGAACCCCATTACACAGACTAACATAGACTCCTTGCTGCTCAGGCCATCACCAGGGCAGATTGCTTGCTGGGCCGAAGAGAGGTGATGACGGGATAGATAGCCAAAACTGTCAAATACCAGGAACTTCCAGCTTGCCTGTAGGTCACTTAGTTTACCCACCACAGCCAGTCTGCCTGAACACTCCTGATCTGGTCTAGAGTGGCCTCTCAGCAGCCTCTACAACTAAATGGGCAGGTCGGCCCCAGTTGCCTGAGCAACTCTATGCCCCCAGGCCTGAGCAGCAGGAGGCAGTGGGGTGGGGACAGCCCACCTGGTTGGCAACCGCCTGTAGTTTGTTCTTGTCGAGCTGTTTCATTTTCTAAGGGGATGGAAAACAGTGCTGGTTATACTCTCACGCCTCTAGGATGGGGTGCTACCACCCCATTCCTTAGGGACAGGTTTTATATCCCAAAGTTCTGCACTACCGAGCTGCCCTATTCCTGACAACGAGCTCACCTCAATGGCAGCATAAGCCTCCCGGAAAAGGTCCCAACTTCCATAGCTGCAGTAGACACAGCCCAGAGTCATGAAAAAGCAGAACGAGAAGAAGTATCGATGATTATAGTGGCCCACACAATTGTTTAGCCAGGCTGGTTGGGAAATGATTAAGGACTAGAATCAAACACAATTTCAGGCGGTGTCCAGGCCCCTCGGATTCATCCCTGGTTCGTGACAACATCACCCAAGCCTCAGGCTTCCAGTCACTAAGAACTACTTTCCAAAGGCAGGAAAATACAAGACTTTACACCCAAGGTTGAAGTAGAAGTGCTGAAAGCTTTTCAGAGCATTCAGGTCCCACCAGGAAGTCACAGAAACTGAAATCCTTTACTAAAATGAATCTGCCAATATTTCAGCCTAGCTGGAGTTAGCCAAACATCTGTGTGGAACAGCAGATGGGGACCCATGGTTCTATCTGGCGTACCCATTGAACAACCACAGAAGCTCAAACATCTCTTTCCATCCAATAGCTGTTAGCATGAGAGTTTAGAAAAGAAAGAGCTGTTAAAAGATTCCTTGCTCCAAGAAGATCTGTCCTAGAGTGTGAGCTTCCTGCTCCCCCAGGAGATGGTCAGCCCCCACAACTCCTCAACTCCAGTGTTCTCTGCAGGGTGATGCTAAAATGGTGGTCATTAACCCTGTACAGTACTCTGGAGCTAAGGAAGGCCTCAGGCAGAAGAGGAAGCAAAAGGATACGGCAGTGGTGATCCATCTTCAGCACACACCTGTGAGGAAGGGACACAGGCTCTGTTACGGTGGCCAAAGTTCTTGAGATGTCAGTGCCAATGCTGACATCATCCTGCTGAGGTGGAAAGGGCACAGACTTTGAAGACAGCCAGGCCTTACTTCAAACCCAGCTCTGCAGTTTAATAGCTATAAGATATTGGACAAGGTAACTCATCTCTCCAAACCTCAGTTTTCACAAGTGGTAATAATGCCTAACTCACAGGACCATCGTAAGGATGAGGTGTCAGGAGAAGAGGGCACATCGCCTAGGACATGATGGGTGCTTCACCCATGTCTTAGCAAAGTCAAGGTGAGGTTTTGCCCTAGGGCTACAGCAGAAGGACCACAGCTGGGATTCCCAGAGAGCAAAGCTAAGACCCACCTGTTGCAGATGCTGCAGTGGTGTGTTCGGGCTGGCTTGGGGTAAATGCACTTCTTACAGATGGAGACCGTGGCGATATCATTCCTGCCCTGGGTGAAGGGAGAGCATAACTGTGGCAGCACCAGTTCTGTCTCTCAAAATATACCAAGGTACTCTCCCCACTCCTGGGACCAGGTCCCATAGCCAGCAACTTCCCCCAGTGCCCCTGTGAGGACCCACCTGGGGTGGGTACCCAGGCGGAGTGGTGATGGCCTGGTAGTAGTGGAAGACAATCAGGATCAGATTCCAGTGGCTATAGAAGAAATGCCAGCAGAGTCGTGGCACTGAGTAGGTTCGGAGGATGAGAGGCAGGACACATAGGTAGGCGATAGCCACAATGGAGCCTGTCAGCACGATCACCAGGACTACGAACACCTGCCAACACCAGCAAGGTCAGGGAGACATGGCGCAAGAGCTATGCCCAAAGCAGACTCAGAGTTTCCCTAGGGGTGGGGGCCGGCCTCCAAAACCTGGGTTAGGTCTGTCAGAGCCATGTCCCTCTGCTCCCCACAATACCCCTTTTCCTGCTCCCTGGACATCACTCACCACTCCAAACCAGCGGATCACATTGTCTACCAGCCAGTAGACAGGCTCAAAGGCAGCGTCGACAGCGGTGTCACTGCCCCCAAAGGAGTTGTAGAGCAGGGAGCGCAGGCAGACCTTGCCATAGCGCCAGCGCTGTACTAGACCCCGGAGCAGAGGTGGACAGCGGCGCCTGTAGCCCAGCAGCAGAAGCAGGCGGAGGCAGAGGCGGGCCGGGCCCAGCAGCAGGCTCCGCTGGCCTCGCATGGTTCCTAGGAGAGCACACCATTGTGAGGATCTAGTCTGAGCCCTCCCTCCCCAACCCGCTAGTGGGAAGGCCTAGAGTACTCACTGGGAGGGCAAAGACCTGAGACTAAGACCCAGCTAGGCCAGTCACCAACTATGAGAAGTAGGAAGGTTACTTCATTTTTCTACGGACAGTGCCCATGTTCCAACCAGATTAAGGGGGTAAGACTGACGGTTCTGAGCCTGCAGAAATCGTACTTATATTACACCACACGGTTGCATAGCAAATCCAAGGTGATGCACACCTAAAGCAACAGGCCACAGGGAAGGGGTGAGAAAGGCCGCTCCAAACCAAAGCAGTCTTAGGAATTGTCTGTGTAGACAGACCTTTGGGTGGAGTGTGGCCAACATGGACAAAGCTGCCCACTGTGTCTCTGGGCATGGCCACTGTAGCAGAGATCGCCGGGGCTTCCTGACTGCGTTGGCGCATCAACCTACCTTCAGACGATTACTCCTCACCAAAGAACAGCCAGTGGAGGAACGAGTACATAGAATGTGGATCCTGCACCGAGATATTCCCTGGTGCTATTTAAGTCTTGGCAAAAGATACTCTTCCTTCCTATTCCCTCTGGGCTGACGTCACAGGCTAGCCGACTCAACCTGGTAGCATGACATTCCCTGTCTCCTGTCAGGACAGCCAGCTACCCCTTGCATGACAGAAAATGCTTTGTCTCCAATTCCATAACCAGCCCCACTCCCAAGGAAATGGTAGCCAAGATAACTCCAGGTATTCTGAGCCAAAAACCCCAGGAAGGAGTCACGAGCAATGGGAGGGGACCTCCATGTTGATTCATGAAGGCCTCGGGGGCCTGACCTCTCTGATGGACTCCACTGCCCCAGTCTAATTAGACACTCAAGAACCTTCTCTGCAGCTGCTGCCTTGGCCCCAAGCTGCCCAACCAGACTTCCCAGTTCACTGCTTCTGTGGCACCTCTACCAGTGCCTCCATCTCCTCTATGCAGTTTCTACCTCATGCAGCAGCCATGGGAAGAGATCAGCTACCTGGGCAATGACCAGAAGACACAGATGCGCTAACAGATGACAGTTTCATCAGTTCTGCAGATTAAATACTTTCACCAGAAAAAAAAATTATCTGATTTTGCCCTGAGGCAGCCAGGGAGGGCTGCTTTGTCCTTGACAACCCTACTGACTTATTCAACAGGTAGCTCAAAACCCAACAGAAACTGGAGGAGGCTGCTCCACTGCAGGGACGGTTTCAATTCGGTAACTGGAGCACTGTACTCTCCTTGCACCCTGGCTCATCCCCACAAAAGAGCTTTCAAAGAAAACCCTTAATTACCTCCTTGCACAAGCCCTGTAAGCTCTAAGGCGAAAAGGAACTCAGCAGAAAAGGTCTACAGAGGAGAAAGCACAATTCGGTAGGGACCTACACAGCACCAAGATAAAGAAACTGTCTGTTCCTGTCACCTCCTAGGAAGCTAAAAGAATTAAAGGGAGTGTAGAAAAGAGAAAAAAAGACCAGGCGCGGTGGCTCACGCCTGTACTCCCAACACTTTGGTAGGCTGAGGCAGGTGGATCCCTTGAGGTCAGGAGTTAGAGACCAGCCTGGCCAACATGGTGAAACTTTGTCTCTACTGAAAATACAAAAAAATAGCTGGGCACGGTGGCACATGCCTGTAATCCCGGCTACTTGGGAGCCTGAGGCAGGAGAATGGCGTAAACCCGGGAGGTGGAGGTTGCAGTGAGCCGAGATCACACCAGTGCACTCCAGCCTGGGAGACAGAGTAAGACTCCGTCTCAAAAAAAATTTTTAAAAAAAAGCTCAAGCTCAAACTTCCATCCCTATTGTTTGGAGGAATGATTTGGCTTGTAGCATGAATTTTTAAAGTGGTAGATACCCACAATCAAATGTAAGAGTGGGACAAAACAGATTACCCCACAACAAACCTAGGTGGCTTTGGGACTCTCCACACCGCTGTTGATTCCCTTTCTATAGCTAATGGAGAGTTTCCTATTTGCCAAAATACTTTTTGTAGCAATAGCATGCAAATCCAATGCATTCCTCATTTGTAATAAACTCAAATTATATGCTACTTCACACCTCTTCTAGTCTTAAAAAAAAAAACTTCTGTTCTCCACTTTTCAGATCATTCTCAACCACGTGAGCGCTACAGGAAATGCCTGCCTCAAGGACTACATTTACCCAATTCCTTAGGGTTCAATTCTGTCCCTAAGCAGTTCTGTAGCCTTGGACAAATCATTTAACCCTGCTGGGACTCAATCTCCTTGTGTTCACATTCAGTGAGGGAGTGGGATTAAATGCTGAAGTCCCTTCCAGCTCTAACCCTTATTGATTCTGTAACTATACAGATACAGTCAACCCCCGCATCTGCGGAGGGATTGGTTCCAGTCCTCCCTTCAGATACCAAAATCTATGGATGCTCAAATCTGTTATAAAATGGCATAGACCGGGCACAGTGGCTCAAGCCTGTAATCCCAGCACTTTGGGAGGCCGAGACGGGCGGATCACGAGGTCAGGAGATCGAGATCATCCTGGCTAACACGGTGAAACCCTGTCTCTACTACAAAATACAAAAAAAACTAGCTGGGTGAGGTGGCGGGCGCCTGTAGTCCCAGCTACTCGGGAGGCTGAGGCAGGAGAATGGCGTGAACCCGGGAGGCGGAGCTTGCAGTGAGCTGAGATCCGGCCACTGCACTCCAGCCTGGGTGACAGAGAGAGACTCCATCTCAAAAAAAATAATAATAATAAATAAATAAATAAATAAAATAAAATGGTATAGTATTTGCATATAACCTATACATATCCTCCCATATACTTTAAATCATTTCTAGATTACTCATAATACCTCATACAAAGTAAATGCTACACATAAACACTTTTTTTTTTTTTTTTTTTTTTTTTGAGACGGAGTCTCGCTCTGTCACCCAGGCTGGAGTGCAGTGGCCGGATCTCAGCTCACTGCAAGTTCCGCCTCCCGGGTTTACGCCATTCTCCTGCCTCAGCCTCCCGAGCAGCTGGGACTACAGGCGCCCGCCACCACGCCCAGCTAGTTTTTTTTTGTATTTTTTAGTAGAGACGGGGTTTCACCGGGTTAGCCAGGATGGTTTCGATCTCCTGACCTCGTGATCCGCCCGCCTCGGCCTCCCAAAGTGCTGGGATTACAGGCTTGAGCCACCGCGCCCGGCCGTAAACACTTTTTTTGTTTGTTTTTGAGATGAAGTCTTGCTCTGTTGCCCAGGCTGAAGTACAGTGGCAAGATCTCGGCTCACTGCAACCTCTGTCTCCTGGGTTCAAGCAATTCTCCCTGCCTCTGCCTCCCAAGTAGCTGGGATTACAGGCACCCGTCACCTCCCCCAGCAAATGTTTGTATTTTTAATAGAGACAGGGTTTCACAATGTTGGCCAGGCTGGTCTTAAACTCCTGACCTCAGGTGATCTGCCTGCCTTGGCCTCCCAAAGTGCTGGGATTATAGGCGTAAGCCACCACGCCCGGCTGCCCCCAAGTATTTCCAATCCATGGTTGGTTGAATCTGCGATGTGAAACTCACAGGTATGAAGGGCAAACTGTATTTGGTAAGTGTAAATGAAATGTTTATAAAGCACATAGCACAATACTTGGCTCATGGAAGTACTCAAATATTTGTTGAACGAATGACCTGGAGGGATGCAGAAGTGGAAAGCCTGGCCAGATGTCTATCTGTCCTACAAATACCAACAAGGACACTCCTGCCAATGTGATAACCCTAAATAAGTGTCTCCTGCTATCATTCTGTCTGATTAATAAAGAGAGAAATACAAACTGTTACTAAAATCATGGCACTTAGGAGCTAGAAGTCGTTTTTGAAAACAAGCCCAACCAGAAATCAGCCCAACCGTGTAAATAGAAAGCTCCTAGATGCACAGATACAGATTTGGGTGAACAAAGTCTGAAGCTAGGGCCTCTCTCCATTAGCTAATGGGGTACAGAATGCCAGGAAATTGATATATGTAGTAAGTGGGCTGCAACTGAACATACAAACTTTTCTTTTTCTTTTTTTTTTTGAGACTGAGTTTTGCTCTTGTTGCCCAGGCTGGAGTGCAATGGCACAATCTGGGCTCACCACAACCTCCACCTCCTGGGTTCAAGCAATTCTCCTGCCTCAGCCTCCATAGTAACTGGGATTACAGGCATGCGCCCCCACGCCCGGCTAATTTTGTATTTTTTTTAGTAGAGACGAGGTTTCTCCATGTAGGTCAGGCTGGTCTCGAACTCCCAACCTCAGGTGATGCGCCCGCCTCAGGGTCCCAAAGTGCTGGGATTACAGGCGGGCCACCGCACCTGGCCCAGACTTTTCATCTCAGGAAATAGAAGTAAAGCAAAATTCAAAAATATGTGTGTAGGGAAGAAGGGGGTAATCTCAGTGAACAGGGGAGGAAACAGAGCAAAGCGCAGCTTTACTACCACCCCAAGCACAAGCCCGAGTACTCTCATCCCTCAGTAACAGTCACAGGCCATAGTGGTCGTCTGCTACCAGACTGGAGGAGATTGCAGGCCACAGCACTTCCCTCTTCCCATGGCTCTAAGTCACCATCTGTTTCCCAAGGGGAAAGTCGACTGAGGGGACAGGGAGGGACAGGCGGCAAAGCCATCAGAAGTCAGGTGAACTGAAATCAAAGTCGTGGGGAATGTCATCTGGACAAGGACGCTGCTCTCGGGATGTTTGCAATCTCAAGTAGGAGATACCAGACATCAATAAAGAGTAGCATTTTATTCACGTGCAGACCTCCCTTCTGGGGTAACACGCTGAGAAGAAAAAGAGTAGCAACTTTATTTTGGGGCTGCTTATCTTTTGATGACCAGCCCACACAACCAGAGTTCGGCTTTTTCAACCTGAGAAAGCTTACTGAAGTGGGGATGGGGGGCCGCGAAGAGGATCGGACCGCAGGACTGGAAGCTGCAGTTTAAAAAACCGGGAAAAGGCCGCGCGCGGTGGCTCACGCCTGTAATTCCTGCCCTTTGGGAGGCCGAGGTGGGCGGATCAAGAGATCGAGACCATCCTGGCCAACATAGTGAAACCCCGTCTGTACTGAAAATACAAAAATTAGCTGGGCGTGATGGCGCGCGCCTGTAGTCCCAGCTGCGCGGGAGGCTGAGGCAGGAGAATCGCTTGATGCCAGGAGGCTGAGGTTGCAGTGCGCAGAGATCGCGCCACTGCACTCCAGCCTGGCCAAAGAGCGAGACTCCTTTTCAAAAACAAAACAAAACAAAAACCGGGAAAAGGTTTTATTTCTCAGTGACAGCCGCGAGGTGAAACTGCGATGGACTGGAAGTCAAAAACGGCGGGTTCTAGTTTGGGCTCTATCTTGAAGATTTTGGACAAGTCAAACCCGGTCTCTGAATCTGAGGTTCCACATCTGTGAAACAGACGAGTTGGGTCGCTTGACCTCCTTCCTTCCTGCCCTGAACGTAACGGTTGCTCGGAAGGTGCGCTCCGGCTGAGAGCGCAGCCCCACAGGGCAGGGCGAGGAGAGAGCAGGAACCCGTACTCAAGACAAGGCCCCAGGGCAGTGCCCGACCCAGAAAAAGGGACTAGGATGGGGAGCAAGGGCCGAGGCTTCGCCCTTACCTGCCGCCTGCCGACTCCCCAGTCAGCCAAACCGAGCCCCGCAGCCTCTGCCGCCGCTCACTGCCACCCCCTCCGACTCGGCGCCCCGGCCGGGCCCGGCTCAATCCAAACCACCATGGCCCGCCGCCTGCAGCGCCAGCCAGGGGACCCGGACCTGCCGCCAGCCCATCCTCAACCACACGCGCAGGCGCAAGCATGGAGCGCTGAAGTTCCGCCCCCGGATTTGTCCCGGGGTAACCTGGGAAATGGAGTTTACACGGAACGATAAAGAACACCAATTGACGCGTATCTTACTGCGGAACTGTGCCTGGGTTTGGCCAATGAGAAATCGACTTCGTTTTCATCCGGGTTCTGGGACAGCGGCAATCATGGCACCACCTGTGAGATACTGTATCCCCGGTAAGTGAGCGCTTCCCGTACAGAGTCCTGGATAGGGGCCGAAGCAAGAAGGCTGGACGACCTACAGTTTCTGGAGGCCCGTGACCGATGCAGCATTTTTTCTGCAGGCGAACGTCTGTGTAACTTGGAGGAGGGCAGCCCGGGCAGCGGCACCTACACCCGCCACGGCTACATCTTTTCGTCGCTTGCCGGCTGCCTGATGAAGAGCAGCGAGAACGGCGCGGTAAAGGAAGCGGCATGCCGTCTCCTCTCTCTCTGTTTTTCCCTTAGGCTGCCCTTGAGTTCCAGTCCTTAGGCATGGGCACTGCGGACCCGTCTTTAGAGCCTTAGTGGTACAATGTTGGTCTCTTAGTTTCTTCTAGCCGTATCGCCGCTGTTGTGCACTTAGCCACCACACACTAGTTGTGTTGATCTCGCTTGGTTGTGCTGCTGACCCTCGGGGAGGGACGTTGGGACAAAAGCAGATTGCGAACTCAGTAACCCAGCCCAGCTCAGCCCAGCAGTGAGTTGTATACTGTATGAATGTTGCTTACCTCTCCGGCTTTATCTAGTGCCACTATCTCCACCTCACTGACGCAATCTAATCATACAGTCTTTTCTATTTGTAAAAGTTATAATCACCGTCTTGGCTTGCCCTTTTAAAAAAATTTATAACACACTAGCTTCTTTCAGTGTCAGTAATGCGCCAAGCTTTCTCCTGCTACAGAGCCTTTGTAACATGCCATCTATCTGGAACGCTTCTGTCTTCCTAGGCCTGTTTGATTCCTACCTCCGTTAGGTAGCTTCTGTATTATCACCTCAGAGAGGTGGACCCACTAATTGAGGAAAGGAGTTTTATGGGATGTTTTGTTTTTGTTTGTTTTGTTAAAGACTCACAAAAAACTCTGTCCCTTTTCTTCCAAGCACTTATGTCAGCATATGATTAGACACTCAGGTATGTTTTCCACTAGACTTCTCCCTTGCTTAAATCTAAGTTCCACGAAGTGCAGGCGCTACCACCATACCATCAGTATCTAGCACAAAGCAGCTCCTCAATAAATGTTTGTTGAATGCGTAATACCTACCTTTCTAGTTTTAGAGATTGATCCGGGATTAGCTCAGGATCATATAAGCAATATTTGAAGGAGCACAGTAGAAAGAGGATTCAGAATTAGAACCGTTAGGTTCTGGCTAACTTGACCTCGATTCTGCTTTGAGTAAGTAACTTAAGCTATCTGACTCAAGGGGCTTTCTATTCAGTCATTGTTGGGAATGTCCTTAACAGTCCTGAGTTTGTTCATTTCATAGATACCACTTGAGTATTTTCATGTGTCAGGCACAGCGCCGACTTGGTTTCTGCCATCAAAGGACACAGACACAAATTGTAAACAAATAAATGCTCAAATGAGCATATGGTTACACATGTGGTGGCTGCTTTGAAAGAATATTACAGGGCACCTTGAGAACATGTAACAGGCAAACCCATCCTTGTCAGCAGAAGTGACATTGAAGCTGAATCATCTAAAGAGTAGGTTAGAGTCAGGTGGGTGGAGAAAGTGCAGTTCTGGCAGAAAGAATAGGTTGAAGAGAGATCTGAAAGTGGGAAGAATTTAGTAAGTTGGGGAAACTGAAAGGCGGCCAGGAGAGCTGAAGCATTGTGAGCAACGGAGAGATTGTTAAAAGATGAGGCTCAAAATATCTGTCTCATACCAACAGCCAATACCATGCTCAAAGAGAAAACTCTGCAAGTATTCACTTAAAACAAGCGTAGCCACTATTTATGTAACATTTCTGTGGAAATTTCAGCCTGTGCCGTAAAATAAGAAACAGAAAGAAGCAGTATAACTTTGGAGGAAAGAGTAAAATTGTCAGCCAGATGTAGTGGCTCATGCCTGTAATCCCAGCACTTTGGGAAGCCAAGGTGGGTTGATCACCTGAGGTCAGGAGTTCGAGTCCAGTCTGACCAACGTGGTGAAACCCCATCTCTAATAAAAATAAAAAAAATTACCCGAGCGTGGTGGCAGGCGTCTGTAATCCCAACTACTCGGGAGGCTGAGGCAGGACAATCACTTGAACCCAGGAGGTGGAGGTTGCAGTGAACCGAGATGGCGCCATTGCACTCCACCCTGGGCAACAAGAGTGAAACTCCATCTCAAAAAAAAGCCAAAAAAAGTAAAATTGTCAATGATTATAGGCAATATAGTTGTATACCAAGAAATTCCGAGATAATCACCAAAAAACTTATTGGAAGTTTAGCGATTTACTACAAAAAAAATTAGCCAGGCGTGGTGGCGGGTGCCTGTAGTCTCAGCTACTTGGGAGGCTGAGGCTGGAGAATGGCGTGAACCCGGGAGGTGGAGCTTGCAGTGAGCATTTGCCACTGCACTCCAGCCTGGGCAACAGAGCAAGACTCCATCTCCAATAACAACAACAAAAAAGAAGTTTAGAGGTTTACATCTTCTAGCAGCATTCTGTAGCCCCCTGGTCCTCCTATTTCCTAAAATTTCTAAGGCCTTCTGCTCTGGGCTATAAATGAATGCATACTCCAGCTCTCACCTGTGTACCAAGACATTCCTATATTACTCTCAAGACACAAATGCTTTGACCCAAGGGTTAGCCAGGACATTTCAGTTTTTTCTTTTTCCCTCTGTAGCTTCCTGTGGTGTCTGTAGTGAGAGAAACAGAGTCCCAGTTACTGCCAGATGTGGGAGCTATTGTAACCTGTAAGGTAAGTTTGTCCTAACTTCCATGCTTAGAACGCCCATTCAATGCTGAAATCATGACCATGCCAGAACTGCAGTGTCCAGTATGATAGCCACAAGCTACATAAATTTATTTCTGGCGGGGCACAATGGCTCACACTGGTAATTCTTGCACTTTAAGAGGCCAAGACAGACTGGGCGCTGTGGCTCACACCTGTAATCCCAGCACTTTGGGAGGCCAAGGGGGACTGATCACAAGGTCAGGAGATTGAGACCATCCTGGCTAACACGGTGAAACCCCGTCTCTACTAAAAATACAAAAAAAAAATGAGCAGGGCACGGTGGCGGGCACCTGTAGTACCAGCTATGTGGGAGGCTGAGGCAGGAGAATGGCGTGAACCCGGGAGGCAGAGCTTGCAGTGAGCTGAGATCGCACCACTGCACTCTAGCCTGGGCAACAGAGCGGAATTCTGTCTCAAAGGAAAAAAAAAAAAAAAAAAAGAGGCCGAGGCAGGAGGATTGCTTCAACCCAGAGTTCAAGACCAGCCTGGGAAACATAGTGAAACCTCATCTCTACAAAAAGAATCAAAAATTGCTGGGCACTGTGGCTCACGCCTGTAATCCCAGCACTTTGGGAGGCCGAGGTGGGTAGATCACCTGAGGTCAGGAGTTCGAGACCAGCCTGGCCAATCATGGCTAACATGGTAAAACCCCATCTCTACTAAAAATACAAAAATTAGCTCAATGTGGTGGCACATGCCTATAATCCCAGCTACTCGAGAGGCTGAGGCAGGAGATTTGCTTGAACCTGGGAGGCTGAGGTTGCAATGAGTCCGCGTCACGGCACTCCAGCCTGGACAACAGAGTGAGACTCTGAAAATAAATAAATAAATAAATAAAAATAAAAAATTAGCCAGGCATGGTAGCACATGCCTGTGGTCCCAACTACTTGGTAGGCTGAGGCAGGAGGATCGCTTGAACCCAGGGGGTTGAGGCTACAGTGAGCCATGATCACTGCAGCCTGGGTAACGGCAAGACTCTTGTCTCTCAAAAATAAAATAAAATCGGTTTCCTTAGTCACATTAGCCACATTTCAAGTACTCAGTAGCCACTTGTGGCTAGTGGTTGCTATACTGGTCAGCACATGACTTTTCTGTCACTACAGAAAGTTTTACTGGACCGTTCTGGTCTACAGATTTCTAGAATAATAAGGCAGCCAAGGTCAGGCATGCGTAGTTCCTTCACTGAGCTGATTCTCTGAATACAGAGTTTCTACCTGTGTCTGGGAAACAGGGATACCAGAGGATGATTGGGAAGCCTATTTTTGAACATCTGAAGCTGAGACCTTTTTCTGCAGAGAAGCAAAAGACTTTTATTTTCTGGCATTTCTTGATTTTTTTCCTTTTTAGATTTTTTTTTTTTTTTTTTTTTTTTTTTTGAGACAGGGCCTTGCTCTGTCACCCAGGCTGGAGTGCAATGGCACAATCTTGGCTCACTGCAGCCTCCGCCTCTTGGGTTCAAGCAATTCTACTGCCTCTGCCTCCCGAGTAGCTGGGATTATAGGCATATGCTGCCACGCCTGGCTAATTTTTGCATTTTTAGTACAGATGGGGTTTTACCAGGTTGGCCAGGCTGGTCCCGAACTCCTGACCTCAAGTGATGTGCCCACCTCAGCCTCCCAAAGTGCTGGGATTACAGGCATGAGCCACCGCGCCCAGCCTTTTTTTTCTAATGTTAGCCATCTATACTTTAAAAAATCTATACCTCTCTGAAGGGCAAGTTGTGAAAAGACTAAAAAAAAAAAAGCTGGGAGTGGTGGTTTACGCCTGTAATCCCACCACTTTCGGAGGCCAAGGCGGGCGGATCACAAGGTCAGGAGATCGAGACCATCCTGGCTAACATGGTGAAACCCCGTCTCTACTAAAAAATTAGCCAGGCGTGGCGGCATGTGCCTGTTGTCCCAGCTGCTGGGGAGGCTGAGGCAGGAGAACGGCATGAACTTGGGAGGCAGAGCTTGCAGTGAGCCGAGACCGTGCCACTGCACTCCAGCCTGGGTGACAGAGCAAGACTCTGTCTCAAAAAAAAAAAAAAAAAAAAAAAAACT